TTATTATATATTTTGTGGTTTAATTGTATTCAAAATTGTACTAATAGTTTTTATATTCATACAGAAAAGCGAAATTAGTATATTGGTTTTATGCAATGTCCCTATTAAAACTAGACATTTCACAGCTCAAGATGCAAAAGATATGGCGGACTTACAATCGTGTCTATCCATAATTCCTAAAGCTTTATAGTTAGAAGCTTTAATATTAAATGAGTTATGTGGGACCTTCTTTATCGAGGATCAATTCACAATCTTTGGGGGAAATGAAAATAACGAAAACTTACACACCGGAACTGTAGAAATTACAGGGTATGTTTGTCGATAATAATACAAATGTTAAAGTGTAGGCAAATATGATGATCGAGTTTGACTATGTAGAGTTTTGCTCCTTTAATTCTTTATTTCTAACCGAAATGAAAAGGAACAATCGCACAATTCTTAAGATCCTTTAATTTCAATTCGATTCATTAGTAACTTATAATGAAAGTATTATAATAAGAGTTAAGTCAAGCAGCTAGATAAGGCAGACAGTGATATATATATCGATATTTTATATTCTCTGAAAGAGTCTAACGTCTTAGGCGGCAAACCTAACTTCTATTTGCTATTATTGATGATATATTTGATGTATTTACAGGGTATTGCCATCGCCTGTGTTGTGCTCTATGAGGTTGTTGGAGATCTAAGCAAGCGTCCGCTGATTGTGTGCGGCACCATTGTGGGCTACACAATCATCTGCGCCGTCCTGCTGATCGGTGAGTACCTAAAAAAAAAAACAGGAAAACTTTCTTATCTCAGATCTTAACTATCTCTCTTTCTCTCTCTCGCTGACTTATTACTGTGCAGGGCACTTCATCAACTCGGTTGTGGAGAAGCGTCTCAATGCGCTGCTCTCGCTGCTCGGCTGCATTCTGTTCGTGGCCTCCGGTGCCTTGGTCATTGATGAGTGGCATGATGCCTACGATTTCTTGAAGGATCGCAAGCGCAACGCCCTCGCAGCTGGCTCCCTGATGATCATCAATGGCGCCGTCTTTCTATTGGACATGCTCTCCATTTGCAGAACGTAAGCCCCAAAAGCAAACAAGGGGTATCCATGCAGAGAGCAACTGTCTCTCTGTCTCTCTCTACAAATATATCTCTAAATTTTTTTTTTATTGTGAATCGAAATTCTCATGGCTTCTGTGTGGGTCATAAAATGCGAATAATGAATCTTGTGTAAACTATATACATATATGAATATCATGTACACCCATCTATATACTATATGATTGTTCGTTTTTTTTTTTATACATATATACATAAATATACGTATATATGATAATATATATATGCTATATATATATGCTATATGCTATATATGATAATATCCATAAAGCACTTAAGCTAAATTCTGTTGCGCACGAAACAAAAATTTGCTAAACGAATATTAAATTGTTAACAGGAATCCATTAAATATATCTATATCTGTATATGTATTTGTTTAAGTATGCCTGTGCCTATGTGTGCACTCAGCTATAACTGCTAAAACTGTTGAATCTGTCTGAACTGGAAGTGGCGCATGTTTTTCCACCTGACCTGATGTCACCTGTCGCCAGCTGCGAGGCCGATCAAATCTCACCATTTACTCTTCATTCCATCCAACAAGCCATGCACCAAGATTGTCTTTAAATAAAATCTTATCATACGTACAAGCCTGGCAAAAATATAAATGATATAACGATTATATTCCCAACAGGATATCGAATATTTAACAACATTTAATTGTCAATCTGAAAACTGTATGTGTGTGCGTTTTTTTTTTTTAATAATATTAAATGCAAATTCACAAATTGTCCTGAATTGTTTTCCTAAGCGGGGCAGATGGCTGAGTGATTTAAGATTTCCTATATGCTTTTGTTTCTAACTTGAAAATTACAGGGTATTTAGCATTCGTTGCGCTGCTCATTTTGTTGCTTTATTGCCTTTGCTGTGTGTAACTTGTTGTTGTTTTTGTTGTTGTCGTTGTCTTGGCTACTTTGCTAAGCAATTTATTTAATTTCTTAATTTATTTTTTACTCATCTACCCTTTCCCGCCTCTCCTTACTCCCCTCCCACCCACTAACTAGGCGCACCGTCGTGCCCGTCTATAAGGAAGAGCCGCAACCGCCAAAAGACCCAGCTGAGAAAAATCGGTTTTAGAGGCAAACTAAATTTATTTTACAAAACAAAAAAACAAAAGACTTCAAGCTGAGTTGTGATTTAAAATAATATATGATTAAACGTTGTTTTTTTTTTTTTATATTGTGAACTAATTGAAATTAAAAATTTAATGCAATTTTTCATTTTGTATGATTTTTGATGTTTTTTTTTTATGGGAATTTTCTGTCATTTTAAGTTTTGATGCTGAAAAAACGGCTCATTGAGACGAGAGACATGTCAAACTTCAGACTGGCTAGAGGAAAATATGAAATGAAAATCTCATTCATTCACAACCGTCCGAGTTGGTTGTGCTGAAAAATATATTTTCATAGTTTTCTTTCATTTTCAACAGAAATTATAAAACCGTAACGAAAGTATATATATATATATGTGTAATATATTGATATAGATATATATTCCATTGTTCCCGTCTTTAGCAAAACGCGTCGCGATCAATTTGCATCGCGAATGCCTAAATTTTGGATGCTGCGTATCTGTATATATATATTTATCTATTTCGCGTGGCTCTACATTCGTCCACATGTATCTGAGTTTTGCAGCCAGCATTGGCCGCTTCGCGAGTCCCGCTAAGTTCTGGCAGCCGCACAGCCTCGTTGAAAAGATGCAGCAGGAGTCGGCGTACACTTTCCTGGCCAAGCACAAGACACGCAAGATGCTCCAGCCAGCAAATGCATCCGGACTGGCCTCCCACGAGGTGCTGCTGCTGCCGCAGGGACGAGGCGTTGCTGCAAACGGTGCCCACACAGAAGTCCAGGAGGAGCCCACAGAAAACGAACAGTAAAAGGATGTCAGGAAGGGCGAAGGGCGAAGGGTGAATGGCGAAGATTTAGTTTAGGGCGGCGCAAATCGTTTAATGTTCAAGTTTAGTTTAGTCGATGGCTAAAATAGTTACACCCATGAGCAAATAAAAATTAGCACTGCAATCGAGTTATATTTAATGGGCATAGGGATACGCCTATATCCTCTCATTTCATGTACAGTAGAATCAGGTTAAACCGACTGCGCTTATAGCGCCCGTATGTTTTTTGCGATGAAAATTCTGGTCCCCAGACAAAGTTTTATGAGCAAACTTATATGGTAATAGTTACTTCTGGGTATACCGTCGCGCGTCGTTATAACAGGATTCTATTGTATATATTCCTTCAGTTTTTTGCATGGCATGTTATTGAAGGCCTACTTCTGATTCCTTGAAATTGGAATCTATAATTTGAGAGTTTATCGATAAGCTTGTTTTTTTCTTTTTTTTTTTTTTATAAGATCAGCCAGAACGTCTAACAATATAGGTAATTTATGGAATATAGGTACTTGGGAAACTTATGCCTTCGATCAAGATATTACATAATCTATGCATATAGAAAGTATATATTCTAAAAAAAAAAAGACGTGCCGCTTTGGACGAAAATTCTATTAATGTATCGTATCTCTTGGTTCTATCGAGCTGTGCCAAGTCTCCTCAACGATTACTAAAATATTCAGAGAAAGAGATCAATGCAAGCAGTTCCTGTAACATCAATAAAAACTCTGCAAAGTTACGAGTTCTAATATTCTCTTCCCCAAAAAATCCATTTCCAAATAATCTTATGTACATGAATATAAGCTCTTCGTTTTTCATGTCAAATTTGTGACAGTTTATTTTATTTTTTGTCCATTTTTGTGGGAGTGTCAGAGACTTGAAATTGTTTGTAAAACATCTATTCGAATATATACAAAATTGACCAAGGCTACGAAAAATGGCAGGATCTGAACAGAGTCCAAAGATTATGGCCTGCGACTTTGAGATCAATGGCAACCTGCAAAAGGAGGCCTTCGAGCTGTTTGCCCTCGCTCAGGCGAAGCTCTTGGGGCTACGTGGCTACATCATGCAGGTGACCGAAGAAAAGTTCAAGGGTCAGCTGCAGGGCGAGGGCAAGGTGATCGAGGCGTTCGAAAACCTTATCAAGAGCGCGGCCGAATATGTGGCAGCCATTAAGGAGTTCATCATAAAGAACTTGAAGATTATCAAAGAGTATACCTATGAAGCATTCGAGATCAAGAAGAAAGCCTAAGATAGTGACTTGGTTATTATCTAATACATACATATATATTTTGATTAAATTATAGTGCCCAATGTGAATATGCCCTGTCGCTTTCTGTAACCGATGTAGGTCATCCCAAAAAATGAAATGATGACCTGATAAGATATGGTGTACATACATATGTGTATAAAGTTAGTCTTGGTCAGAATCTATTCTTCTAGTCCATTCTCTAGAATCACCAAACTAGAGACGATGTTTACGGCGCAGCTCCAGTTGCAAAAAATCAAGTTAAATATTTTGTTAGTACATTTTGTGAAGATCCCATTACAGATGTACAGCTAGTGGTGCAGGTAAATATTTGTTCGAAACATTCCTATGTACATATGTATGTATGTATGTATGTATGTATGTATGTAATATCTGTACATACAAAACCAATATGCGAAAAAGCCGCAAAAATTAAAGGAAATTAACTAAGGCACGACAGCGGGCTAGCGGACCAGCAGCGGCCACTGTGTGGCACCATCAGCAGCTAATCAGTCGGCTAAGTGCGACAGTGGCGACGCTGACGCCGACGACGACGCAAACGGCGGGCAATGATTGCGGTCGCGGCGAATAAGTTGTTGTAATTGCAACGCAGTGGCAACGCCGACGAAGCGAAAAGAGCAGACGCAACAGTGTTGATAGCTTTTAACTTGGGCTAGTGTTGAGCTAAGTTTATGGCTATTTCTTTTCAGTTGACAGCGATTTTTTAAATTGACTAAGGCCATGCATAAGACAATACTATAATGTGCGGAATTTGTTAAATTTGTTACTGTTATTAACATAATTGAATTTTTTTTTAATTTGCGCACTATTTAATTATATTTTGAGTAACAGGCAACCATGTTTATTTAAATGACTACAAAGTGCATAGTTATTTGTCACAACTATTTATAATAATATTGAAGTTGCCTAAGCTATCATAATATATATATTATTCTCTCATTTGCTGACTGCTGGCTTGAAAACGGCCAAAGCAATCAGAGCTGTTAGTTGACTTCGGAGATTGGCGCAGTCGCAATCGAATTGGAGGAGTCGTCGTCGCCGTTGCCGTTGTTGCCGTTTCCATCTCCATCGCCATCGCATTCGCTGTCGCCTTCGCCGTCGCCGAAGCCGTTGTCAGTTAGTTTGCTTTGAACTCTCGTACGTGAAAGTCGTCTCTGCGCTCGCAGCTCAGAGAAAAAAGCTTTGCCCAAACAATTTTGAAAGCGCAGGCGTGCAACGGTTTTTTCCTCTTTCTAAACACGATTTGTTTTTGTTATCGTTTGATGGTGTTTTTTTTCTTCTCGTGTATTAATGTTGTGGAAAGCATATGAATTTTGTGCATATTTTAAAGAGTTGTTTCGCGTTCCATATCGGTTTTAATTTTTTTTTTATTTTTTTTATTTTTTATTTGTTGTGTGTTTTGTTTATTTTGTTTTCCTCTCGCAATTTTATGATCTGTGCAATTTTGCTGAAAACTACTGAAAATATGCAGCAACATTAATAACAACAGCCGAGACAACAAAAGTCAACAACAGCAATTACGAGTGCTTGGCGTACCAGCCCATTACGACCAGAGGAAGTGGTAAGCAAATATGCATTGCATTTATGTTTTTTTTATTTATTATTTCGTGTGTTGCCTTCTATTCATAAGAAAATAATAATAATGAATAATAGCGAAAGAGCGAAAAGACCAAATCTGGCTGATAATCTGACTTGCTGCCTATCCCAGCTGACATACATGCAAATGCAGATACAGATGCAGATGCAGATGCAGATACAGATGCAGATGCAGATACAGATGCAGATAAATTTGCACAGATACAAACAAGCTAGACATAACCTCATTAAAGTTGTCGCCGTTGTTGTCCTCATTTTATCCGGCTGCCACTGAGCCCAACTTCATCATGGAGTTGCTGCCACAGTCGACGTCGACGTCGCAGTCGGAGCCGTCTTCGATTATTGAGCCGTTTGACTTTTTCTCAACAGCGACGAA